ATGAAATCCTTTTAGGCCGATATTGACTTTAAAGAAATCAACATCAATTTTTATAGGAAATTATTATTTTATTTATTAAAAATTTGAAACTAAGCTGCTGGCTTCTCTGCTTAAAAGGTTAGGGTTTAAAGTAGAATAACAGTTTTGCATGTTTATTACTATACTTGTATATTATATAATGGTTAAATACTTGTAAAGATAATAATAATACAATTTATAGTTGAATATTATACATAGCATTTAAGTTTATTGAGTAATATTGACGCTCATTTCTTATTTGCCTAATTTCTGCAGATTTCACGAATATTAATGAATATAGTTTATAATGTATTTTTGTAATAACAAGATAAGAAAACCTTAACATTTTAAAATCTCATTTCTCCCTTTGAATAATTTTGAAGTCATTTTGGGTCATTGTTGAGAACAATTAGTTGCAGATGTCTTCCCAATAATATGTTCATATTTTTGCGAAAGTGAAACAAAATAGTTTTAAATATAATTTGACAATAAATAATAATTTTTTGTTATTATTACAATATATAATGCCTCACCATAATTGGTGGAACATACAAAATAAAACCTTAACTAATAAGCAAGTAACAGCGTTTTCTTTAAATACGTGTCTTAATTTGCTTTGTAAGGCAGTTGGTATCTATAATTTTGGAGGTAGAAAGTATCAGTTCTATTTCAAACCGCGGCATTTCGGAAACAGAAATATGAAGTTCTTGCTGGCTCTTCTACACGTGGCACTTCTGGGCGTTAGTTTTGTGGCGGCACGTAATTCTTGTCATTATCCAGCAAAAATGAAGCTGGCAGATTAAATTGTACAGTACTAATAAATTCTGCAATCTTCAAAATGTTTTAAATAAAGCAAGATAGCGCTAAAATGAGAGGCTTTGAAAAAAGGAAAGAAAGAGTTGGGTTGAAAGCAGGCCTTTTTCAGATCATCACAATTTAAGCATTGAACCAAAAACGGTTTGTGAAATGTTCACTGCTCTACAAGAAACTAAGACCACCATAAGCCTCAATATTTTATATAGTTGCCGAGTGGTCCAAAAACCACTCTTAACATGATAACTTTGTTGTTTATCGTAGAAAAGTGTGGTTTTCCAAGTGCCTCTTATAGTGCCTCTTAGTACACTTTAGTCTGGCAAAATCAGTTTCCTATATCACATAGCTGCCATAGAAACGAACTATGCTTAAATCATTCTTAGTATATTTTTTTTGCGATATTGACACCTAGTTTGGAACGATTCGTGCTGTTACATGTAAGGGAATATGAGAAGAAGAAAAAAAGAATTTCGGCTTTTTTTAAACACCACGCACATTTTCCAATACTTGCACTTAAAAGAAGAAAAGTAACTCAGCTAAAGGAAAGCAAACAAATTGTAATTTTTCAATTGTTATTTCCAAACCAGAGCACACAGGCATTTGCCGGCGGTGTTGCGTTTGGTGATGGGGAAGGAAATGTGTCTTCAACTTAAGAAATTAGCTAAACAAATGATGCGCAAAGGCAATGAGCGGAGAAAAACCAGAAATGCCAGGCACAGGCAATTAAAGTGGAAACCCCACAGCCAATTCGAAGGCCCTCAGTCCCTCATCGAGTTATTTCCATACGCAGTGGACCAAACGGAAAATTCATTACAAACAAATTAACAAATAAATCAAATTTCAATACGAAAATTTGTTTGCGAAAACAATTTTGTAGCTGAAACGGAACAGAGCTGGGAAAATGCTTTTTGGTGGTCGGGGCGGTTTACAAATCGCATGCCACGCCTAAACGCGCACCCAAAAACACGAGGACGAAGGACATGGCATGGGCAGAGGATAATGCTTGCCTTGCCTTGCCTTGACTGACTTACTGACTGACGGACTGACGGACTGACAGGCGGCAAATCGTCTGCGCTGCGGCTGGCGCTCCACTTGAGAAATCATTTATCTAAATTAATTCCTGTCGTTTACATTTGCCAAAAACAAAAATCAAAGATTAAGACAAACATTTACTACTTTTTAACCCACCACCGCCCACGAGTCGCAGGTCTGACAGGCCCGAGCAGGCTCGAGCTGGCAGGCGGTCGATGTTTGCCTTGAAGGCCTGCAAATGTTAAGAAGAGCCCCTCACGCCCCTCACGGCCCTTACGGCCCCGCACTCCTGCTGATCCATAATAAATGACATGATGCGCATTTGTTGGATAAACATTTTGGCGTCGAGTTGCCAACAACGTCGCGTTAATAACTCATTTTGAAATTCCGCGAGCAACGTTGGCGGCCCACATTTTTGTCGAAAAACAATTAAAATTGTTCTCGTACGATGTCAGGTAGCAACATACGCATATACATACATATATACATCTATATAATTATAACTGTAAAATACCATGCGTATATGCGTGATAACATTATTTCAACCCTTTAAGGGCCACCCACCACCTATTTAGCTGTCAACACTGCGCTCTGCTGTCAAAGTTTTCTTTGCCACGCCACTGAGAACTCATAACAGAATATATGTTTCGGTAACATCGAAGTAGAGTTGGGGATGGGACGACACGGCCACAAAATACACTCACGCACATACCACAACATGTTTGGATATACAAAAGAATGCCTTAAATAGAAACATCAAAAACTAGTGGAAATAAAATTAGTTTGCAAATAGAGGTGTCTATGTTAGAACTATTACTAAACTTGGAAATGTTTTTCATTATGCTGCTGTCCATCAGAATTATAAGGACATAACTTTGTTCATAGCATTTCAATTAAATAAAAAAAAAAAGCAGCATCGACCGAAAAATCGATAAGATCGATTTTTTATAGGTTCAAAGAACAGGCCACAAGAAAAATAAAACATGAAGACGCGAATGCAGTTTAATTTGTTTTCGTTATCAGAGTACATAAATAAAGAAAGTCGATTGGAAAGCGCAGATTTTTCTTAAAATCGTTGAAGCCCGTTTTCCCCATTTGTGGTACGTATTCGAAAAATTGCTCACCTATACTATAAAAGGAAGCCTGTGTCGAAAGTTCAGCTTCCAATTTCTTAACGTATGGGCTGTGCGTTACACACATTTACCACCAATCAGTCAGTCTATCAGTCAGTTTCTCAGTCAGTCTCTCAGTCAATGATATGATGATATGATGATATGATGATATGATGATATGATGATATGATGATATGATGATATGATGATATGATGATATGATGATATGATGATATGATGATATGATGATATGATGATATGATGATATGATGATATGATGATATGATGATATGATGATATGATGATATGATGATATGATATGATGATATGATGATATGATGATATGATGATATGATGATATGATGATATGATGATATGATGATATGATGATATGATGATATGATGATATGATGATATGATGATATGATGATATGATGATATGATGATATGATGATATGATGATATGATGATATGATGATATGATGATATGATGATATGATGATATGATGATATGATGATATGATGATATGATGATATGATGATATGATGATATGATGATATGATGATATGATGATATGATGATATGATGATATGATGATATGATGATATGATGATATGATGATATGATGATATGATGATATGATGATATGATGATATGATGATATGATGATATGATGATATGATGATATGATGATATGATGATATGATGATATGATGATATGATGATATGATGATATGATGATATGATGATATGATGATATGATGATATGATATGATATGATATGATATGATATGATATGATATGATATGATATGATATGATATGATATGATATGATATGATATGATATGATATGATATTATATGATATGATATGACACGGTAGATTGGTTCCAGAAACAACCGTGTAAAAATAGACATTGATCATATGCAAAAATAGTTGATTTATTCTGATTGATTTCTTCTGATCTGTCTACCAGACGAATAATGGAGGCTCAATTAAAATTCAAAGACTTATAATTTTGTATTATTATTATTACGCCACGATGTGCCACAAGCAATAACACATATATAACATGCCCATCTCTAATCGAAAGTAACCGAGAGACGAATGGTTGAGTGTTCGAGTGCTTGAATCATTGAGAAAGTGAGTGAGTAGAGCTGAATGCGTCAGCATGCCAGTATTTCAATATGTAATTAGCTCTGTCACAATCAGCAATTTTTGAGTCGGAGATGTATTTCCCAATAACTAGCATTGCATTTGACATTTCGCTGATAACATCAACAAATTGTTCCAATTAGGTGTTCGTGTGTATGCATATCATATATCTCTAATTGTTTGTATTCTTTATAATTATAACAGCAATAACACGCAAAGATTTATAGAGTTAAGCAATAGTTTTGCAGCGTCTTTATTTTTCGAATTAATCTCAATTTAAATAATAGGTACTATATTATTGTGCAAGTATTACGAAGTGACATTTTTACATTGTATTCAACAGAAACGGTTGTTTATTATAATTATTAAACTTATTATTCTAGCACATACAATAATTATTCGACACTTATACACGTAGAACGACTATGCTTAGGTAACATAATCATTTCTTTCTTAAATTGAATGCTAAGCGGGCAATTACTGCTAGGTATTACATAAAAACGTATATAGAGTCGAAATCGGCACGTTTGGAGCCATCCGAGAATGCGTTGAAAGAATGCGTTGAAAGAATGCGTTGAACGAATGCGTTGAAAGAATGCGTTGAAAGAATGCGTTAAAAGACAATAAAGTAATACAAAGTCTGATTATTTTGTCCATATGTTCATATAGCTGACAACTTTATTTCTAAATTTGTTTAATCTTAGACACATCACTCTCTTCTTATATAGTTCTTTTTAATTTAGTTTTATTTATTTTTAATTTAGTAAACTTTGATTGTTTTTCCAATTTGTACTTTTTTTTTAATTATACTATTTAAACTTTATTGTTTTATTCTACATTTTTTCTAAGTTTGGTTTTCTGAATTGTCAGCAAAAGCTACCCAGTTTGTAGATTTGACTTTATAATTTGTATTTATAATGCAGCTAATTTTTTGTTTTATGTTAATATTTGTTTTTCTCTATGCTGCTCATTAGCTGTTTCATAAAAATATATTAATATTATTCTCTATTATTCATTTCAAGAGCTATCCCTGACTCAAGGCTTATAATCCCCGACAAATAATTATAGCAATTATAAAAGTTTTGTGGCATTACCTATTTAAAAAATGAAGTCTATTATTTTTGTGATTAAGAGCAACAATCTTCGGACTTTAACAAGACACAGTAAAAGCCTTCCTAAGGTTGCTTTCTTTATCTGCTATATAATTGGATTTCCCTATGATTTGTTCTAACCAAGTCAGTGTGTTAAACCCCACTTCTTCAACATTGCATTCAACTAGATTTCACTAAAAACTAACTAAATCTCTGAACAATTGCACAAAAGCACAGACAAGAAGTTAACTCGTCTGGCCAATTAATCTACACCCTTGTGAGCCTGCTGTCGCGGCACCTCACACAGGACACTACCTACGAAATCGGGCGATTTGCGGGCATAGGCCACGACCAGTTTGTAGGGCGAAATGAAACGCTCAACATTTTGCGGCGCCTGCGCCGCATCATCAACCACCAAAGGCTGTTGTTGTAGATTCATTGAGACAACCACAGCAATGAAATCATCGAGGAACTCCTCGTGCAAGGACTCTGGCATGCGTTCCAGAAACGGACAAATCGCCTTCACATTATCTGCAAAATAAATATATGCTTGTAGGTTGAAAGACTTGCCAGCAATAGTTATTAGGCATTATTGTCGTACCTTTTAAGTTTCGCACACCCTCATAGACATAAACCTCATTGCGTACCTCCACATTGTACTGCACGAATCCGGCCTCACCCAGCAGACGACTGAACTCCGCGCTGGGATCCTTGCTATAGTGCAAGGGAGAGATAAACTGGTCCACATCGCGCATATAGCGTGCCCATTTGGCACTGCAGGCCAGCACTTTGTACACCTCGTAGACCGGATTGGAGGCCAGGAATACTAGCAGACAATCGCCACCCTCATGTCGGAGAAGGCGATAAATATTTTGCAAGGCCACACGCAAATTCTGGACCCAGTGCAGGCAATAGAAGGAGGTCACATGATCGAATTGACCCTCCAGGCGCTGCGGCAACTCCTCGCAGCCAATGTCGAGCACCTGGAAGTGTGTTCGCTCGAACTTCTTCCCATAGCACTTATTGGCATAGCCGACCATTTTGCTGGATATATCCGTGCCGACCAGCTGCCCGAAACTCTTCGGCAACAGAGGATGCACAAAGTCCATGAGCACATTGCCCGAACCGGAGCCCACATCTATGAGCTTGTCCTGTCCATCGGTGCGCCACTGCAACACGGAGGCATACTGCTCCAATATGAGCTTGGCATCGTGTCGCTGCACCTGGTTGGCGCGCTGATAGAGCGAGGCCTGATTCATGACAAACCGCTCCCCTCAAGGTGTGTGAAACTTTTGAGATGCCGAGCGGCAAGCAGCGCAGCTTTTATACTCGATCGACAGCTGCAGCTTTGTCTAATACCGATTTATTTATAAAGCTCTAAAACAATTGGTTTGTTCCGGGCTCTCTCCCTCTCTTCAAGTACGAGTACACTTAACAAAAACAACTACTCCAGCCTCGTTATATCTTAGCTTGCAATCAAGTTCAAGTTCTCGGTCGCTGCTGTGAACAAATGCCAGGCTTCCGGTAATGTTGCGAAACACAAAACCTCCACACGAAAACCTTAGAAATGCAAATCACATTGAACTTGTGACCCATTCAAATCCCCATTTCATATAATTTTCTTTACAGTGTAGAAAAAGGCCAACGCACATTAGCATTTGGGCGTATCTGCTCGTATCAACAGTACGTCGGATAAGTGTTTATATTGAGGGAAGTCTAAGTTTGGCACCTGAATGATGTCAGCAGACAATCGTGTATGATATTGGGGTGACTAAGAAACCACACACTATGTAAGTTCTATCCGATAAGTTCAAACCTCACCTTCACAGCAAAGATTATTCATATTAAATACAAATATATTAACAAGGATGAGACCAGAATAGAGCTGTATTTTTAGCAGAAACGTAAATAGATCACATATATAAACCACACACTACCAGATAAGTTCAAACCTCACCTTCAGAGCAGAGATGTGTACACTTACACCGATTATTCCTACATAGACAAAATATACTTTGTTGAAACACGAAATAGAATTAAGCTTTATAAAAAAACATTTATTACTTTTTTTAGCAGAAACGTACATCAATATATGGATCCAGAAAAACTGCAATTAAGTAGATCTGTTAAAAAATGAAGATTTGACAGCAAGCTACGTAGTGTTTATTGAAGTATTAAAGGTATTGTTTGATAGTCAGTGAGATAAAGAAGCTGTAATGAGGGAAACAAACGAATAATAAGATTTATCTGGTTTTAATTTAAAAAGAGAAAGCATTAATCTAATTATTTATAATTCTAATCATATGAAAATTACGTATTTATGAGATCGATATAAAAAATTTGTAATGACTAGCGTAATAGTTTAAAAGGAACCTGAGACCTGTAAAGCTACGATAAGGTTTATAAATAAATAAAGAAAAAAAATTAAATAAATAAATAATACAAATAAAATAAATAAAATAAATAAAATAAATAAAATAACTAAAATAACTAAAATAAATAAAATAAATAAAATAAATAAAATAAATAAAATAAATAAAATAAATAAAATAAATAAAATAAATAAAATAAATAAAATAAATAAAATAAATAAAATAAATAAAATAAATAAAATAAATAAAGTAAATAAAATAAATAAAATAAATAAAATAATAAAATAAAATAAATAAAATTTAAAAAATAAAATAAATAACAAAATAAATAAAATAAATAGAATAAATAAAATAATAAAATAGAATAAATAAAATAATAAAATAAAATAAATAATTAAAATAAATAAATAATTATTTGTTCAGCCTCACAAAGTGTATTGCTAAGTTCTAAAATGTTGAAAACTCCTTTCTTTATTTTACATTTCGGTTTGTCAACATACTTTCACTGTTCACTGTATTTTGTTCTCCAAACAATGCCATACCCCATGCATTATGATTCCTAAAGACAACCAAAAAAATGGTTGATATTTTTGGAAGTGCATTGATCTCCACAGTTCAACAACCTACCCCAAAAACTAAAACGCTTAGCAGTTCTGTATAGAGTCCGCTTTTAAAAATAGTAGCCCAAACAGATTTATGACATTTCACACTCACGTACAGCTAGACTCAGCGGCAACCAACACCGTCGACTCACACACTATTTTTGGGTGCCTTCACATCAGTTTAATATCATTTATGGGACTCTGTTCGCCGTACAGCTCTACCAAAATTATCCATAAATTCATTAAAAACATTCCATTTAGCTGCAAATTACATTTGTGTAATTGCTATGCGAGCGCCCTCGACATCGGCATCACAGACATTATGATATTCCAAATATTTCACATATGGAAGGTTCACCGTTTGATGTGCCAAACCCTTTCGAATACACACACATATACATATATGTTTGTTGATAAGTATATGTAGGTATAAGGATCTATGTGTGTCGAGTGACATCAAAAAGCCTTCGCTCGCTGTTTAATGTGTGGGCGTTACGGTTGGTTAATTGCATTTGGCGCACAGTTCTGAGTGCGTTCAGTGCTCGGCATTGTTTCCGGCCCGGATTCGTTGGCAGTTGTTCCCCTGACTGTGTCAGAGTCCTGTTGCAATTACAACGAGCTGTTGATTGGGGAGCCACGCATCGCAGGCGGACAGAGAGCGAAATCAATTAAAACTGACAAATTGTGACAAGCAATTGGTTTAAGCTGCTTTCGAACCAATGGCTCGACAGCTCGAGAAATTTCTTGCAATTTGACATATTCGTAGTATACTATGTATTACTATTTAAGAAATGTAAAACACATTCCGGCAATTCCTGAAAATTGTCAGAACTGTTTCCATTGACTGACAAATACATTTTAAAAGCATTAATTCATCCCACAAATGGGGTAAAATAGCTGTCAAAGTTCATAATAATTTAAAAAAAATTTTGGTTTCTGCAGCTCTTACAATTAAACTTATATTTTTAATATTACTTTATCTTTTACAACTCTGAACATTCTACTACAATTTTTGTAAAATTCTACAGTATTCCAGACAGATATGTATATACGTTTTTACTTTTGTTTTATTATTTAAATGAGAAAATCTTCAATTTTGTTTTTCATTTGACGTTCACATTTGACATTTGACACTAACAATTTATTTTAAGCATTTACATATGATAAAAACATATCGAAATATTAGTTAAGAAGTTCAACAACTTTTTAAATAAGTTCAACTATTAATAGAGAGGAGATCGAAGTAGATAAACGAGTAAATGGGGTTGTCTATTTTTAAACGGGTACGATAATTATTCAAAGCGATTTATTTTACTAAATTATAGTAAGCGATATATTCAATGAATGGCTAATGGCAGCAAATATATAAAAAACTGCAATTTTAAGAAGTAAGGCCTACGAATATTGGTGTCATATTTTCGAAAGATAATAACTTTAATTTCTACATATGTACTTACTAAGCTATTTTTCTAAGCTCAGTAATATTGCACAACCGCATCATAAATGAAATAAATTAATTGTCAAGTTTATTTAACCAATTTCATGATTGTCCACGATGGACAGTTTTAAATAAAAATACTCTGCTAATACCAAAATATATACATTTTACAGTTGCTTTATTGTTTATATCAAAAAGAAATAAGAATTTTTTTTAAGGAAAATTATCTTGGTTTTTTTTTTATCTCCACTACTATATTTTCTTTAACAAAAATGTGAATTTTCGCTCCCCTGACCAATTAGGCATCCCCATCGCTTACTTCCTCTCTCTGCTCGCAACCCCCTGCCAAAGGAGGTGTACAATACTCGTACATCGACAATCACAAGTTCACTTGGCAGGAAAAGGTAATGTAAACAATTGCTATAGTTTTATGCGATTTCTAATGGATTCACACACACTTAGTCCCCACAGACACACACAGTTAGTCCCCAAGCAGACACGCACTTCAAAATCATTTAAAGTTTATCTATTTGCGCGTCGAGTTGTTGTTGTTGTAGTTGTAGCTGTTGCTGTACTTATTGAACTCATTGTTGCAGTGGTTGGTAAATATATGTACGTTGTTGCGAGCGAAACTTTGCATATGTTTAAATAACATTTTTGAAGTCGACAAACAAAACAAGAAATGGCTGCGTCTCAGAAAAGGGTTGCCCGTCGCTCGTATTTGGTTGCTTCCTTGGGCCGGTTTATAGTTTTGTGCTCTGGCAGGGAAATGAGTTTTTAATGTCCCAAAGGGGAATACTCGTCTACTATATCGTAGTAAAGCACACATATGGATGTGCGCTACGGATCCAAGTAGTATGTGGAAGTGTTGCGCAAAAAGGTAACAGAGTAAGACTTTCAGGCTGTGATTGCGACAGTTGCTCAACATGATTGGCTTATGTGAGTAGTTGTAGCTGGTTTTGTATACTCTTTAGTTATGCTCTTCTAACTAAATTGTTTGTAAACTCACTGTCACGGCATTTCATCTTACTTAATAAATAATAGGTTGTTTTAAGAGATATTTGAAGTCCTATACAGTAAAAAGTCTCTTGGCCGAACACTCACGGTCGGGATACTTAAATACCTTATAAACCGATCGAATGTTTTAGAAAAAGTGTTCGCCGAGGAGAATGTGCGGATGAAAGTGGTCTCCATTAAGGGAGTTTTCACTGTACATACATAGTTTTAAAAGTTTGAATTTAAGTTGCATTGCAGCTGTCTGCAAACAGCTTACTTCTATGTTTAGGCAGTCCCTTATATTTTGAGGCGCCAGGTTATCTGTATGTAGAAATTATAGCATTAAGCACTTGTCAATTTTTATTCAAACTGTGCAGATATTTTGCCTAGAAAGACACAAGTCTTTATTTTTAATACTTTGTGTGAACCTTAGTTATTTTGCTGTACCGGCAGTTATCGACTGGAGGTCATTCATTTAAGTATATTTTTACATACAAGAATAAAAAGTAGTAATATACTTTCCATATATTCAAAATTGCACTTCTGAATAAAAAGTAAGGCCACCATTTAAATATACAAGTACTTTCCGTACATTCAAAATTGCACTTCTGACACCATCAAAAATAATAAAAGCAAACAAGTATTTATTACAAACAGATTTCAAGAAAATGTTGTATAAATACTGTCATAAGGAAACCGCCGATTTTTTGCTAACTTTGTCACCTCTCTTCCTTTGTATTATAACCCCAAATACAACTCCTACGACATTACAAAGCTCTCAAAAATAATTGAACTTTTAAACTTATGGGTCGCTTCAACCAAACCATCCACTGATACCAGCAATAATTTAATGTAATT